CAATAACTAATGTCTTTATGAGAAGGCCAACTAGGTACACTAAGGGCCATACAAGGAGAATGGCACCTGACAATAGGGTAGGAGTTAGAATGAAACCTCCAGGTGAACCATGGCCCTGCCAACACTTTAATTTCGGACTCTGGCCTCCAGAACTGTGAGCAAACAAACCTCTGATGCTCTAAGCCATATAGTTTGTGGTATTTTGTTAATAGCAGCCCTAAGAAACAAATGCATTTGATAAAGCAGTCACTTAATATCTCTACCTTGATTTCCTGAATCTGTAAGATAGAGAAAAATACTTCTGAGAGTTGTAATAAGAGTAATTAATATTTTTAATATTCTTAAAACAGTTGATACCAAATGCTATATGATGTTAGCTATTATAATATGTTTAAACATTTTATTTTGAAATTAAAACACTCATTTTTATTTGTTTTTACTTCTAAATTAGATCATTAATTTAGTCTTCCTAAACTTCAAAAATACCAATTTTATACTTCATAAAATCCCCTTATTTTGAAATAACTTTATAAAACTATAAATCTAGCAGGTAAAACCCCTCTAAATGTTTACGGTGTGTTTAAGCAATTAAATAGCTAAATTTTCTTTATCATTTCAAATTAAAGTCACAAACTTAAAAGGTGATTGTATCAAATATACTTCATGTATCAAGCTCAATAAGTATTAAACAGTTATTACCAAGGATTTAACTCTTACAATGCTAAAAAAATTTTTTACATTTAGATTAAACTAAGCATTTCTACATCTTAAGAATCAACTTTACCCATTTAGTGTAAAGATTTTTCTAAGCATTTAAATATTGTTGACAGTAGATTTTCAGTTCTCCTAAATATACACATTAAATTAATAAATTCAGTATTTTTCTAATATATCATACTGTTAAGCTTTTAGTTTAAAAGCATAAAATAAAGCAGAATGAGGATAGCACAATGTGTATTGGATCTGAATAAGTATAACTTAACCCAAAAGTGCTATTACTTTGCCAGGCATGGTGGCACACACCTATAACCTTAGAACTTGAGAGGCTGAGGCAGGAGGATAACTGTGAGTTTGAGGCCAGCCTAAATTACATAGGAAGACCCTGCCTCAAAAATTTTAAAAAGCATCATTACTTCATCTTACTTGTTATTCCTTTCTGGTGCTGCAGTGTGACTTTTCCAATTAATAGGAACAGAATTATCAGTTTAAATTCTCAAAAATAATTGGGATTGCAAAAGGTCATTGAGAGATTTCAGTCTTGTGCTGCAAAGGTAAAATGACTGCACAGATACGGAACAGTGCATGGTTAATTACACTTGCCCCTCTTCTTCCCTGACTTGGATGACTAGAATTATGCATACACATAGCAGTTATAATCAGATCCCCAACTGAAACTTCATTTTGCTCTCTTCCTATCATCCTTGGTTCTTTTGTCCTCTATTGAAAACTGAACACCTCAAGAGTAGGAAATGCATTGGGTATTCTTTGGGTCCCTAATAACATAGACAGCAGATGTTCAATACATGTTAAATACATTAATAAATAAATGAATTTAAATGTAAATAACAAACTCCAAACATCTTCCACTTAACTTCATCAGTAGTTTTTGTCTTGTAGTAATTCCTTGTCATGCCCCCTCATCTGAAAGCACTAACCACTCTTCTGCCTTCTGGAGATGGTGCCTTCTTTCGAGCACTTGTTTCTCAATGGTGGCTAATGAACCTTTCTCAGTATATAACAATGTACATGTCACACAGGCCACCATTTGTCACCTTTTCCTCCAGGCTAACTTAATAATGGATTACAACTCTCCACACATCTAAACTATCCAGAATTCTTCTTTAGACCGAGACTCCTTGGTAAAAGGTATTATTGCTGAGCTGGCATGCAAGGCACAATGATTTGTCTTTCTGAGGTGGGAATGGTGGTCTGCCACATACTACCTTTACTAATTGGCTTTGCTTGGATTTGGGTATCTCCCTGGTAAAATGTAATCTCTGGCATACAGGGTTGAGGTACAGACTGAGATAAGGTATGTGATTCTCTTAGGCTAGATCCAGGTGGCTGAGGGCTCAATAAATAGGAGTTGTTACACAAGCAGACTCATTTTCTGTGCTATTGTTGCAGTCTCCTGACTGATGGCATATTTATATTGACACATTTTATTTCTATACCATCTTAGTTCTTAAGAGAGAGGGAGTGAAAAATATAAAATGCTCTCTTTGGGGAAAGGGAGAAACTAATGATTCTAAGTGGGCCAAATGTGTTGCTTCGTGCTAACCAATAAATGGTCAAAAAAGTTCTGAAATTTTGTGCTTTTTAAATAAAATTCTAAAATACAAGTATTAAGTACATATAAGATTGAATCATGTAATATGAATCATTTCAGTTCTTGACCAGCTTCATAGCTCAAAGCCCTTAAATACTTCCTGTAATCAAAATCCATTTTCAAATTCACTGAGAGATAACATCTAATGCTCCACTCATCTTTTCATGTTCTTAATTTGAGGTCAGTTTCAATGGCCTGTCTCACATCAGCTGTCATTTTTGTGATTGCAATGTCACTACACATTACAGTTTTCCTTAGGACAGTTCTCATCTTTGGTTCAATTTGATTTCATTCCAATCAAATCCTTATGTCTCAGTACAATTGAATTCACTTAAAATCCCCTATTCAAATGGGATTATAACCACTGCTTCCTGTTGATGCTGCTGAAGTTCCTGGTGCCTTCCAAACCTGTGATATTGCCTGAGAGGCCAGTGGGCCTGATAACTAAGACACTGCTGGCCTGCCTAATGCAACAAGCCAGGAACAAGCTCAGCCAGTAGGGTCACAGTGCTTAAAGCGCCATTGCTGACTCTGATGTTGAGCACAGTCTCCACCCATCCCCCAATGAGCCCCACTGTGTCCACAGTGTTCTGAACTGTAGAGAAATATTTTTCACACCTCATCTTACAGAAATGTTGACCGAACAACTTTTTAGGTTTAAGGCTGGGGATTTAGCTCAGTGGTGCCACTGTCTACCTCACAAGTACAAGAACCCGAGTTTGATCCCTGTTACCAAAAAAAAAAAAAAAAAAAAA